CCTCGCGCGCGCCGGCCGTCGCCCGGCCCGCCAGAGCTCTGAGGAGAAGGCGACGGCGGCCGCTCGGAGCATCTGCCCAGTGCATCCCCTGGGCACTGGGATGGCGGGGGAGCAGAGCCTGGCCGATCAGGTAGCTCGGCAGTCTGTGTCCCTCATCCCCTGGTCCCTCTGCCGCAGGGACGGGGACAGGCTGGACTCGGCGTCGCTGAAAGAGCTGCGGGACGGAGTCTGGCCAGGGCGAGGGAGAAGGCAGGAAGACTGCCGTCGTTCATGTTCAAGAGGGACTCGAGCTGACCATGCCCGACTTGTGAAAACGTAACTCTCATCCTGAAAGTAAGCAGAGGATGGGGAGAAGTGATCACTGGGGGCCTGTTTATTGGAAGGGAGACAGAAGGATGGATTTTTTTGTTTCTGATATTTGAGTAATTTCTAATTGTGGAAAGTGGAACAACTTCTTTGTGAAAGAAAGAAGGTTGTTTCTAAAATGTGTATTTATCTAGTTCTTTGTAGGGTGCTTAGCTGACTAGCTGTTGGCCCTTAGTGAGCCACCTTTATGTACTGGATTTTTCCCTGTAGCGCAATGTCCCTGTTGTTTACTCGTTCCAAGTCAATAGTTGCAGTGAAGAAGGATAAAAGACACATGGCTGAGGTAAATGCTTCTCCGCTTAAACATTTTGTCACTGCAAAGAAGAAAATCAATGGTATCTTTGAACAGTTGGCTGCATACATCAATGAGAGCTCCTCATTCCTGGAAGGTAAGCTGAGTTCTTGAACTACAAGCCTGTAACAGTGCTTTGCCCACATACAGTCAGCCCAAACACACACCAAAAAACACCCATTCAGTTAAACGGTGCTGGAAGACCTGTGCTTATTTATACATGCATATCTGTTTATATATCAATATTTATGAGAAAAACAAAGTTTTTTATTGAATTTGGGTGGAGTTCAGGGCTCATATTTTGAAGCTTACAAGTTCACACATGTTATGAAAATGAGCTACTTAATGACCTATGCTTGGTTTTTATGTTGTTTGGGTGTGTTTTAATAAATTGTACAAGGCCCTTTAGGTTTTTTGCCTATAATTCTTTCAATATTCTTGCCTAGGCATGCCATTGCTAGTGACATGTAGCATATGACAGTAATTGGCTTTAACAGCTTAAGACACAGACAAAAGATTTTTTTTTTAAAGGTGTTGGAGTGTTTGAAGTGTTGGCTGTGTTCTGTTTAAGGCGTTCCTAAGGATGAGAATGGTTATTAGATACACAAAAGAGACCAGATGATAAATGCTGATACAAAACTGCGTCAGGGTGTAATTGCATGTATCAAGATTACCCATATGGTCTTTGGGACACAGATAAGCATTTAGTTACGTGTGTTACATCATCAAGAGGTGTTTGACCCAGTACTGATCCAGATGACTTCTGGAATTCAGAGATGTCATGTATTTTGATTTTAGAAACACACAGGAACATAGAGCTTGACCCTGTCACCACAGAAGAGCAGGTACTGGAAGTCAAAGGCTACCTGTCAAAAGTCAGTGGCATTAGTGAAGTGTTGGCAAGACGACACATGAAAGTAGCTTTTTTTGGAAGGTGAGTCACGTGCTTATGTTGCCTACGCTGCCCACTCAGTAAAGCAACTGGCATCTTAGGGTTGTAGCCAGTAAAAAATATTTATAGAAACACTAGTGCTCCAGCTTTTGCTTGTAATGTTCATGTCCCTGGTACTAGTTCTCTTGTAAATTAAAAACAAATATTGTAGCACATAATTCTTTAATTTGGAAGAGTTCTTAAAATAAAAAAATAGAAAAGTCTTTTTGTAAGTTGCCTATGACACCTAAATTGTTAATACTTCTCATACTGCTTGAGTTTAGAGAACTTGCTCTCTGTAATATCAAAATGAGTATACCTGAATCTCAGAAGTCTAGCTCCTTCCATTGTTTTATCTGACTTTAGGACAAGCAATGGGAAAAGCACTGTGATAAATGCCATGCTGTGGGACAAAGTCCTTCCTTCAGGAATTGGACACACCACTAACTGTTTCCTGCGTGTAGAAGGGACAGAGGGACATGAAGCTTTCCTGCTTACTGAGGGCTCGGAGGAAAAGAAGAGTGTTAAGGTACAATTTCCCTAGACATCAGGTAAAGGAGAAGAGCTCTTCAGAAGTGCCAGGAAAGGGAAGGGACAAGAAAATTAAAGTACTGTGAATAAATTTCACAGTTAAGGGTTTTAATCATTAGAAGAGTAGAGATGAAGAACAGGTTACTGTTAGATGTAGGAAGGGAGGAATGGAGCAAGTTACAGGATGGAACTTGTTCATTTGATGAAAAAGATGATATGTTGTATTTGTTATAGATAGCAGGGAACCAAAACGATGCCTCAGGAATTTTTGAGCTCTGTATGACTGACAGAAGGCACAGACTTCCTGATAATTCCTCAGTAGCCCTTCTTGACAGGAAGATTTCTCATCAACTCTTGCTAGGCAGTTGCGTTTTGACTAGGAGACTCAAGCAAGTTTTGTGTGGAAAAACTCCCAGGGAGAAAGTGATTTGCAGTTGGGTTTTATCTTAAATTGTCTGTGAACAGATGTGAAGGGGAGATAATTGTGTTAATGGGACTTAGCATATAGGAAATGTTATAAATTATCCATCTTTTTAATAGACAGTAAACCAGCTGGCTCATGCCCTTCATCAGGATGAACTTCTGAATGCTGGCAGCCTAGTCAGTGTAATGTGGCCCAATTCCAAATGTCCTCTTCTAAAGGATGACCTGGTGCTGATGGACAGGTGAGAGATATCTTTCTTTCCTGCTTATCACAGATTAATTACAGAAATGTCTTCAAATACAAATTTAACAAATATCAAGGAAATTGACCCTGTTTTAATCTATGACAGTGACTAAAGTCCTTTGCTGTAGTTAGCAGTCAGAGTTTCCCTTGGTTGGTACTTCCTTTTAGTCTGTACTCTGTGTCACATCAGGACAGTGTAGCTCAGACATGGGAAATTAGTGCCCTGAAAAGCTGAAACACACTTCTTACTAACTTTTTAAATTCTGTTTTTGCTGCTTCCACAGCATAGTAATGTCTGTTCTCTTTTTATTGCTAGCCCTGGCATTGATGTAACCACAGAACTGGACAGTTGGATTGACAAATTCTGTCTAGATGCTGATGTATTTGTCCTGGTGGCAAATTCTGAATCAACATTGATGCAAACTGTATGTTTGACTCCGCTTGTTCAGTGAATTTGGCTAAAAGTTAAAAAATTTTGACATATTAATCTTAAGAGGTTTTGTTCCATTTTGCTTAGGAGAAACAGTTCTTTCACAAGGTGAATGAACGTCTGTCTCGACCCAATATATTTATTTTAAATAACCGCTGGGATGCATCTGCCTCTGAACCAGAATACATGGAAGAGGTTTGTGATGTGTTTAAATTCCTTCTCTTTGCATGGATATTACGGAGTCCATTTTGACTCTGGTCCTTGCGGGTAGAATCATAAAGTGTTGTATGTGATTGCTTTACAGTTTGGGTTTTTATTACCATAGTGTAGATACTAGAGGGAGTATATACTAGTGATCAAGACATGACTCTTGAAACTTCCGAGTTGGAAATCCAGACTTTCACAGGGGCTTCTTGAAGTTAGATCTCTTGGATAACCTCTGGAAGATTCTATAAAACATTCTATAAAACAGCAGAGTTTTTTTTCTCATTCTTTTGCATTGGTAGCTTAGACCAGCAGAGGGCCTCTGGGTGCCTGGTCTAATCTTTAAGAGGTGGAGCATAAAGCGGATTTAACTGCATGTGGGGTTTATCCTGTTTATCCTTCAGGTGCGTCGACAGCACATGGAGCGATGTACCAGTTTCCTGGTAGATGAGCTGGGTGTGGTGGATCGAGCACAGGCAGGGGATCGAATTTTCTTTGTGTCAGCAAAAGAAGTGCTGAATGCCAGAATTCAGAGGGCTCAAGGGATGCCAGAAGGAGGTGAGGAAAGCTAACAGAAACGTTCCATTTTCTTACAGGGAAGAAAATAGGTGATATCAGGGAAGAAAATAGGTAATATCTTGTTCCAAAAAATGGATAAAACTGGGGTGGGTCAGATTATTCACAGAGCAGTCAAAAACAAAGGGGTGATTTAGCAGCATTTTCCATTGACTTCAAGGTAAAGCAGGAGCATTTCCTGACATCCAACATCTGATTGCTTTCTCAAAACTTAAGTGGTTGTTTCATACTTTCCTTCTCTCAGGTGGAGCATTGGCAGATGGATTTCAAGTAAGAATGTTTGAGTTTCAGAACTTCGAGAGAAGATTTGAGGTGAGCGTTACGTGTGCTAACCTGTTTAGATTCTACTCCTGAAAGGCAGGAGAGTAGAGTTTATAAACACGGTGGGAACACATTTTGGAAATAGATTACACAGGAAGAGAAGTTGTGTTAGTATGCTTCTGCCTGCTGCTAATCTTGGCTGCCTTTTTGTATACAGGAATGTATCTCACAGTCAGCAGTAAAAACGAAATTTGAGCAACATACAGTGAGAGCAAAGCAGATTGCGGAAGATGTTCGTCTCATCATGGATTCTGTGCATATTTCTGCCCAGGAACAGCGGTGAGGAGAGCTCATGCTTGGGACTTGTGTGACTGAAGCTTGTATTCTGTGAGAAATATAAGGGAATATGAGAATTTAAAATGCAAAGCAGAATACAGCATGTTTGGGAGTGGGAAGGACACATGCTGTTGTATGTCTTGCTTCTAGTGAATTGTGAAGGTATTGGGAGAAGAACCTCTTGTTTTTTGTCCTGTGCCATGTGTATGTAATATACTGTAGATACTGACACATTTTGTTCTTGGGCAGGAGGGTCTGTCTTATTTCTGGAATTCAAATGGTGTTTGTAGATCAAAAATGAATTTTATCTGGCTTTTTGATAGGCCCTTTTTTTCACTAGAGTTTACTGTCTGGAAATGCGAGAGGAGCGACAGGAACGTTTAGGTTTTATTGACAAACAGCTGGAGCTCCTTACTCAAGACTACAAGCGGAAAATAAAACAGATCACAGAAGAAGTGGAGAGGCAGGTAAGGAGGAGTGGCTGCAGAAAAAGAGATTGTCTGAAACAGCTACCAGCATTGTGGGAAAAATGCAAAGTGCTGACAAATGTTTGAAGTACAAGAAATGTCGGAGTTACAAATGGGAAGAGAAGAAATATTTTCAGAAGAAGTCTTTCTTTTCTTTTTTTTTTTCTTTTTTTCCTTGGGGTAATGAAATGAAAAGTAGAATACTTGGAGGAAACTTTGAGACTCATAAGATGCTTTAAATAAATAATGAGATTTTGATTAATATTTGAATTATTATTGCTATTATATTTCAGTTTTAAATGCTTCCTAAAATACTAAAATGTTTCAGATAAGCTTCCTTATTATTTTAATCTAGAATAATGTCAGTCTTCTTACTGTCAACAACATGCCATTTTTACTATTACGAATATGCAGAAAAGGTGTGTTCATTTCTCACAAGTCTTGTATTGCCTCAGTCTTTTCCTGTCTGTATTGTTAGGCAGAGCATAGATGTACATACTTCACGGCCATCCTTGTTTGCAAGTCACCAATACTGCATTTTGCAGTTGGCACAAAATGGCCACATGGCACTGCACCATCATAGTGCCTAGTGTTCAGTAGTGCTTACTAAGAAATGCATGTCTTCCTTCAGTGGTGGTTTTCCATCTCTCCCTAGGACAAAATATATAGAAACTCTGTCCTGTGCTGTTTCTCTAGGTGTCAAATGCAATGGCAGAAGAAATCAGACGGCTTTCAGTGTTGGTAGATGAATACCAAGCTGACTTCCATCCATCGCAAGTAGTTCTTAAAGTTTACAAGAGTGTAAGTGGTGTTTGCTTCTTACAGGTTGCTTAAGCAATTTAAAGAGGCTTTTTTTTTTTTTCTCTGAGCCAGTAATTATGCCAGGTCTTTGAGGTGCTTGACATTCTTCCAACTAGGATAGGAGCTAAGCTTTTCATATTGTGAAAAATCTTTTGTTAGAATGTATCTTGCATTTGGATAGCTTCTGTAAAAAGTGATCATCTTAAAAAAAAAAAAAAAAATATGTGGGGTTTTTTTTAATAATCTCAGTGATAACCTGATACACTTATGATGTATCACATTGTATTGATCAAACAGAACTTTTTCTAGACCGCAGAGTACATCTGCGATTTCTTGATCTACTTTTTCCTCTCCTTCACTGAAGAATGGGGAAAAAAATGAAAGTAATGTTAGAACGGTGGGCAGAGAGAATGCGTGCTCCTGTTTTGGGAGGTTTTTTTTAACTGGCAAACTCTGCCAGCATGCATCTTACCTATGTTTATTTTAAGCTTAATAAACCTTTCTTTGTTTGTCAGGAACTGCATAAACACATTGAGGAAGGCCTGGGCCGTAACATGTCAGATCGTTGCTCCAATGCAATCACAGCTTCCCTGCAGACAATGCAGCAAGAAATGATAGGTCAGTTCAGTGAGCAATCTTTCCCTTTCTTTTTCCTTTTAACTGTAGTGCTGTTGTGGTTTCAGCCAGGATAGACCTGGTTTTCTTCAGAGAAGCTAGCATGAGGCTGTGTTTCGGATTTGGGATGAGAAACTGTTGATAACATGCTGATGTTTTGAGTTGTTGCTAAGTAGTCAAGGACAGTCCAGCTTCTTGGGCTGGCCTGCCAGCAAGAAGGCTGGGGGTGCACGGGGAGCTGGGAGGGGACACAGCCAGGACAGCTGACCCAGGCTGGCCAAAGAGATATTCCCTACCATACAACGTCATGCCCAGTACATAAACTGGAGTTGGCCGGGGGGCGGAAATCGCTGCTTGGGGACGGGCTATCGATCGCTGGGTGATGAGCAATTGCTGTATTGCACATCACTTGTTCTTGTGCATTCCTTTGTCGGTATTATTATTATTGTTGTTATCGTTGTTTCTTTCTCTCTTGCTGTCCTATTAAACTGTTTTTATCTCAACCCACGAGGTTTTTTCCCAGTTCTCTCCCCCGTCCCCCTGGGGGAGGAGGAGTGAGCGAGCAGCTGCCTGGTGCTTAGTTGCTGGCTAGGGCTCAACCACAAGTGCAAAATAACTAGGTAGATGTTCTAGATTTCTCTTTAATCTGATGGCTGATATGCAGCTGGCATCATCTTAGTTTCCATCTTGATTAGTAATGCTGTTTTGTAGAGGACTTGTTACCCCTGCTTTTTCCACTCCGTGTCTGAAGTTGTGCAGTGATTTGCTAATGAATATATACAATCAGCTTAATTCTCATGACAGAGAAGAACTGTGAATTTGGAAACTTGAGAGTTTCTCAGACCCAAGATCCTAATGAAATGTGAATGACATGTAAGTAGGTGCCTGTCTGAATATAAGCTTTAATAGGAGTATGGTGCCTAAACACTTCTAGAACTGGCCTTCAGATTCTGTTTTCCCAGCTATCACTAAACTGTAAAACTTCACCAGCTACCTGTAAGGAGTTAGGAGGGTCCATGGAAAGATTTCCTTCTGAGTTGATCTGAAGAACTAAGAATCGAATAGCAATTCATGATGGCTTTGCAACATGCTTGGCTTTAGGAAATTTAAGGTACTAAGAAAAATAACTGTGGAGGATGGAACAACCCGTAACCACCCTGATTACAGAGTACAAGCCCAGTTCTTGTGAACTCAATAGCCATTTTTTGAATGTTTTTATTTTCTGTTTGTGCAGATGGTTTAAAACCCCTTCTCCCAGTCTCTTTGCGGGGCCAGATAGACATGTTAATTCCCCGACAGTGCTTCATGCTCAGCTATGATTTGAACTGTGACAAGCTTTGTGCCGACTTCCAAGAGGACATAGAATTCCATTTCTCTCTTGGATGGACAATGCTGGTGAACAGATTTTTGGGACCAAAGAATGGTCGTCGCGCCTTGATGGGCTATAATGACCAGGTAAGATACCATCTTGAGTGGTCAGGGTAGATGTTATATTTATCATTTCAGGCTGCTGGAGTTTTTTTAGTGGCACGGGTGGTGGCTTGCCTTCTCTTACTCTGGATTTGTTTTTGTTTTGTTTTTGTCACTGCTTTTGTAATTAGGTTCAACGCCCTTTAACACCAGCAAATCCCAGTCTGCCTCCTTTGCCTCAGGGCTCTATGACCCAGGAAGAGCTTATGGTGTCGATGGTGACTGGACTGGCCTCACTAACTTCCCGAACTTCTATGGGTATCATCGTGGTTGGTGGCGTGGTGCGTTGACAATCTGAGCAGCATTTATATAAATAAAGTTGGAGCACTGAGTTGAAAAGTGCTTGCACTGCTGAGTTCTGTAGATATTTGCTATTCACAGATAGTGAAATACTTCTCCTTTGATCTTCCATTTGAGTATAAATATTGAGCTTATTTTGCATAATGGTTAGGCTTGGAGCCAGGGCTGTTGTGCAGATAACCCTTCGAAGCATGTTACAAAAGCATTAAATAGTCTTTGATTCTTTTGTTGAGAACAAAAGAAAATTCGGTATTTTTCTTTTCCCATTTACAGAGGAGTCAGGACAGAAGTATCTACCAAGAGCCTCTCTCTGATCATGTGTATGTTCCCTCCTGGAAGGGGAGGAGAGCACCTAGTTTTAGATAGTATGTCTAATTTGTTTCAGAGAAAATCAGCACTTGCTGCTTTTTAGTCTTTTGAAAATAATGGATGTTTTGAATCTCAAATCTCCCCAAACTGCAGAGGCATAAGAGATCTAACTCAAGTTGCATGGTAACTCCAGTTCCTTTTGCAGGAAGAATCTAAATTTCTGTAGTGCCAGTTCCATACCTACGTGCTGTTCTAGTGTCTCTGTGTCTACAGGTGGATGACTTCTCAAAAGGGAGATGGTTGCTTAAAAACATCTTTTACTTCTGTGAACCAGACAAAATTTGTTTGCACTTGCAGATGTATTTTCAGTGTGCCGGAAAGGTTAACCCATACAGAACCCCAGTAGTTTGGTTAGGTATTTTTATTTTGTAGACTGGACGTCAAGTAGTAAGCTGTCTAACCAGTGAAACCGCTTGCAAGTCAGGGTTATCTGTCTGGCTCATTTTCAAGTGCCTAGACTATAAGTGCAGTGGTCTGTGCACCATTGTTAGGTGTTAGCATCATTCCTAAAAGATGATCATGTCATTTCTTTTTTCCTTGTGGTTTTTTTTAGGTCTGGAAGGCTGTGGGTTGGAGACTGATTGCTCTGTCTTTTGGTCTTTATGGGCTCCTTTATGTATACGAGCGCCTCACCTGGACCACAAAAGCAAAAGAGAGAGCTTTCAAACGGCAATTTGTAGAGTATGCTGGTGAGAAATTGCAGCTTATCGTCAGTTATACAGGTTCTAATTGCAGCCACCAAGTCCAACAGTGAGTTGCCTATATTCAGCTAAAACCTTTTCTAAATTCTGTTGTTTGGGTGTTTATTTTGATGATATTCCCTGTTAAAACAAGATAAGTCTGCATATTGACTTCCAGATTTTAAAATGTATGATACATGTGTTTTAAAAGAATATTATGGTTTTTTTAAACACTGATGTAGTATTTGGGTGCTGTTAAGCGTTAGTCTTAATGTACTTCCATCTCTCAAATCAAGTTGCTCTTATGCTCTAACATACTCTTGTCCAGAAGTGGAAAGATGAACATCCGAGTCAGTATCATCATCACTGTATATCAAAGGGATATTCCTTGAATTTGCTCCTTGATTTTTTTGGTCATATCCAACTATTCTCCTTGCTTCATAGAGAGCTTGCTGGGACATTTGCTCATTTGTGTCAGCAAGTGGATGTCACACGGGAGAATCTTGAGCAGGAAATTTCTGCCATGAATAAAAAAATCGAAGTTCTAGATTCACTGCAGAGCAAAGCAAAACTGCTCAGGTGAGGTTTTATTATCCCATATACACAGACATTTGCATACAATTGTTTTTCATGCAATTGCCCCAAGCTGTTCAGATTAGGGTGTATCTTTGAGTGAGTCCTTTTTCCATCATAGTGTTGATATGCAGATG